AGCCCGAAGTCAGACTACTCTGGCTTTGCTGTATATTTGTTTTTTGTGTCTCTTTTTGTCATAACTAGTCCTGATAAAGTTGTTATAATGAATTCATAGCTCATTTTGGCCTAGGAAAAGTCACATTGTAGAAGTTTTGAAATAAATGACTCTTTTGATTATTAATTATCCTAAGTAGATTCATAAGTTGTTCCATTTCTAAAAAGACATTTTTGAGTCTAGGCATCTTAAAAATGCTTATGAATGTACAATTTCAATAAAAAAAATCATAAATTCCTTCATTGTTTTTGACAATTTCATAAACTTTTCCAATTTATGACGGTAAATAGTCAAATCTACTGTAGGTGCCTTAAATTCTTGTGTGTAAAATTTCAATACAGTGTTCATAAATGTCTTCATTCTTTCAACAATTTCAAACATTTTTCAATTTCTAGCAAGAAATTGTCAAATCTATGCGTCTTAATGTCTTTGAATGTGAAATTTCAATACAAAATTTCATAACAGTTTCATGAATTGTTCCATTTATAACCAGAAATGGTCATGTCTAAGTGCCGTAAATTCTTATTAATGTAAAATTGCAATAATATTTTCATAAATTTTCATAACAATTTCAGAAATTTTTACATTTCTAGCAAGAAATTGTCAAATGTAGGTGTCCTAATTCTTATGATTGTAACATTTCACTACGAATTTCATAAATTCTTTCATTTATTCAGCAATGTCATAAGAAAAGTGTCCTATTTAAAATTTCAATGCACGTATTTAAAAAAAAATCGTTTTAAAGTCTTATTTTTGTTTTATAAAAACTATAGATGTCTCATATTTCGTGATGTTTGCCTGTCCATTGTAAGTCTTTAGCCCTCATTATTTCGGCTCACAGACTTTAATTCTAAACCTTTCCTATATGTTCAGAGCTGTCTGTGTTTGTTTGTGTTGTGAGTGGAGCGTCGCTATCAGAGCATGAGATGATGATCACACTCTTACCAAAGACAGGAAGGAAATGAGAACAGACTCTTACTAAAGCAGATTTCAACACAACCTGCTGCATAGTTCGTATGAATAGTTTTCCTTTATGATAGGGTCATGCATGAGTCATGGGTTGATAAGATTTGAGTGTGTCGCTCATGTGGAGGCTTGTGGTTGGATTTCATCGTTAAACACAGGCAGGTTCATATAGTGAGATCACTTTATCATGCATCTGCAAGCCCAGAATGAGTTTCTCAAAGCCGTATAGGCTTGTGATGTCGTAATGTTTCAGGAAATGTCTGGCATGACTAACCGCTGGTTTATTTCAATACTGATGCTTTAACAATTCTCTTTCTGGTTCAGTTTCTATTAGTGATTCTTTTAGAAGGTTTATTAATATGTTAAGAAACTCTCTAAACGGTTCATTGAATGAGTCACCTGACTGATTCAAACAGTTAACTCGAGAAGTCCTGACTCATGAACAAATGACTCTTATGAACAAATCATTTAGTGAATCAATCAGAAAGATTCGACACTGCAAAAAAGCTGTTCTTCCTCTGTATTTTTTTTTTCCCCCAGTACAAAATATCTAAACATTCTTAAATTAAGATCCATTTACTTGCGATGCAAACTGACGAAGTTTTGTTTTCTGAAAAAATGATCAACGTGAATTGATTTTATGCTTTAAACAAGAAATATATGCCAATAGAGTAAAAATTTTTTTAACTTAATTCAGAAGTAATTTATTTTACTAAATTATATAAATTTTACTATTTTACTAAATTTATAAATTTAATAAATTAATTTATTAGCAGATATTTTTCTTGTTTTAAGCATCAACTCACCCCATTTTTAACGATTTCTCATCAAACAAGACTTAATATCTTGATTCAAAAGGAAAACATTTAGTTGAGATGCAAAATGACAGAAGATATTAAGTCTTGTTTGATGAGAAATCGTTAAAAATGAGGTGAGTTTATGCTTAAAACAAGAAAAAAAGGCTATCAGCTAAAAAAAATTGATCTGTTTTTCATTTGAATTGTTTTTTATTTTATTTTTTTGCTTTACTGGCAGATGTTTTTCTTGTTTAAAGCAAGAAAAATTGATCATTTTTTCAGACTCTCATTTTGCATCACAAGTAAATGCATCTTGTTTTAAGAATATTTCTATATTTGTACTGGAAAACAAGGCAAATATTGAGCATCTCTTTTTGCAGCGTTGTGAGTCTTTTTGATTGATTCATTAAAGAACCGGTTCAAAAGAGTCATTTGTTCATGAATCAGACTACACTGGTTTTGTTGTGTTCTTGCGTGTATCCAGTGATGACTGCGCAATCCGTAATGTCTGTTTATTGACTTTTTACATGTTTTTCTAGCATAATAACTCAGTCACATAACTCTAGTATAATAACTTGAGTATGACGTCAACCTGTGACCCTGTCTCCAGTAGATTGTTCTTTTTTTCCTGCCTCTCCGAATTTTCGTTTCCAGCCAACATCCATCGTTCCTGAGGATTTTATGTCAGGAATTAGGGCATGTCAAAAAGCATTTCAGAAATTCAGTTTCGTATTCAACAGCTTGGCAGAGGCATTGCTACACATTTCACAGATCATTTCATATATAGAAGTCTTAAGTACAGTAAAAGTACATAGAAATCATGACAAAAAATATATTACTGTTTACAGTAGACAGAATGTACTTCTTAAAGTAGTAGTGATAATGATAATACATTTTATTATTAAACAGCATTTTTAAGGAAAATAAAAATGTTTCATCCATGTTTTAATTTAAAAAAAGCAAACCTTTGTTGTGCAGCACTTGGCCCAAAAAATATTTTGTTTTATTTTATTATATTTGAAAAGATTTTTTTAGAAATTGATTTGATTACCCCATTTTCTATAGTAAATTAGAATTTGACATTATTATTATTATCAATAATAATAATAATACAATTTATTAAAATGAAGGAATATTGAACTATTCTTGTCTATGTTTTAATCAGTAAACCTTTGTTGTGCAGCGCTTTTTTTGCCAAAAATAAAAGGAATGATTAAATTTTCCATTTATTAAATTAAATTTCAATTACATTATTACATACATATTACATTATACATTACATTTTCCCCATTCTATTACGTTTTTTTTTTTAATTACTACATTTGTTTTATAAATTGACAAAGGGGGGTAACCAAAGTAGACCTGTGTTCAAAGTTAACAATTTATCTTATGGCCTGCAGCTCTGCACATTTCAAAATCTAACAGAAAGCATTTTATATTGAAGTTTCAAACATGTGTTAGTCACCATCTCTGTTTGGTTATAATTGAAAACAGACAATACAGGTTATGGAGAACAAAAATGACCACATCGATCACATGAAGGGTCTACTTTTTTGCTTAGACCAGTGTAAACGATGTATTACATTTAATTGTATGAGGCCATGCCTTGCACATACGATGATCTATGAATCTGTTTAAGGGCTGTCTCCTATTGCTCGTCTGTAATTTCAACACCCAGGAAATTTTAGGTGTTGTAGAGTTGATGTGCTTGTCAGCTGGAAGAGCGTTTCGTGTATATATGAAATATATCCTTTCTTATGGGGATCATGCAAAATTATCATTTCCATTACTGATTGATTTGGAGAGTTAGGGTATAATGGATTATTTTGTTTAACAAAGTTTCGCACCTGCAAATATTTGTAAAACATGTGACCAAGGTATGTTGTATTTACTGTGTAGCTGCTCAAATGATGGAAATACTTTATCAATAAATGTTGATTACCACCGTTTTTATAGTAAATTTGTATTTGACATTATTATTATTATTATTAGTCATAGAAGTAATAATGTTAATAATAATAGTAAAACAATTTATTTACCTTTTTTAAGGAATATCAAACCATTGTTTTGTCCGTGTTTTAATTTAAACCGTAAACCTTTGTTGTGCAACCCTTTGCCAAAAAGTAAAAGGATTTATTAAATTTTAATTTACATTTTTAAAAATTTACTAAATTGTTAGTATTATAAATTGATTTTACCACCGCTTTTGGTCCAGGTCTAGTCATGCCAAGAAAAATACAGTGAAACCAGCAGAAAATTAAAAAATACAATGATAACAGCGATTTTATCGATTAATTTGGATGTTTTGCCACGATTTTATTTTTTAGAAATCGAGGAATCGCGATTTTGAATAGAAATATTACCAAACGTTAGAATTAGACACTTTGACAATATGCCGGAGATAACAGTAAAGAGAAAAGAACGATCCAACCGCATGGAAAAGCAGCGTAATCGAATAAAAACCTGTGAAGAACTACTACTGTATGTCTGATGTTTCATGTTTGCATCATGGTGACAGGCTGAAAGCTGCTGTTGTTGTTTTTACAGAACATTTATAGTTAATAATAGCCTACTTATGTAATACCTTCAGTAATTTTGAATTTGAATTACCTTTTTTTTTTTAAAGCATTTTCCTCGTATTATTTCTGAACACATATGTATAAGACAAGTTTGTACAATATGTATAGTTTTTTGCAAAGATACTTAACAAGTGATTTGTTTAACATTTACATCATGTTGAGAACTTCATGTGTGCTGCACTTGGAAGAGAATTTTCTTTAACTAGAGGGTTAATAAAGAAAAAGTTACTTGAATCATGTTGTAGTTACATTTTCAAGTTGACTAGTTAAAAATCGTAAAAAAAAATCGAGAATCGGTCAAACGTTCTGAAAAAAATCGAGATTTAGATTTTTTTGCCAAATCGTCCAGCCCTACCGACCAGCACTAGTACATTTTAAATTAATTGAAAAAAACTTCATTAACATCATGATAATTCACCCTAAGATGAAAAACAATGCTGTCAGCATGGTACAATCGTGTTGTGTTTGTCTCCAGCAGAATGTCATCGTCTGTCTACCGGTTCATCTGTGGGGAGTCCGGATCCACAGGCCGCAGACTGCTGCTCTCTGTCCAGCACTGAGCCTTCAGAGGACGGCCTGGAGCTCAGTCCTCCGGAGGCTCCCTCAGGTCCTCCAGAGCTGCTCGGCTTGGACTGGCCGGTTGAAGAACCGTCAGTCTCGACACCAGACCCTCCGTCGCCGTTCGCAACCGCCACAATGGCGCCAAACCCTCAGCTCACATACGTGGATCGTGTGGTCATGGAGATTATCGAGACGGAGCGGATGTACGTCAGGGATCTGCGCAGCATCGTAGAGGTGAGAAACATTAGATGTAAAACTGCTGTGGGTTCTGATTCATAAATGGCCTTGTGTCTCATAGTATTGGCTCAAAATTTGAACACTTTCAGAAAATTATGTAAATTTTTGAGATACTGGAGTGAAATTCAAATTCACCACTGTTCAAAACTTTGGGCTTGTTATTTTTTTTATGTTTTGAAAAGCAGTCTCACCAAGGCTGCATTTATTTGTTCAAAAATACAGTAAAAATGTGAAATATTATTGCAATTTAAAACAGCTGTTTTCTATGTAAATATCTGTTAAACTGTATTTTTTTCTTGTGATGCGCAGCTGTATTTTCAGCATCATTACTCCAGTCTTCAGTGTCACATGATCTTCAGAAATCAGTATAATAT